ATTTGAACTGCTGTCTATACTAGGAACCTTCAGGAATAGCCATCACATAGTTAGCACTTACCCCAAAGCAAAGACAATTGCAAAAACAGACTGTGAGTTCTTGAGGTGGTTTAAGATATAGAGGAAATTGGCCAAAATCCAATGTCTAACTTCAATAAAAAACTGGAAAAATAAAGTCATTTATGTTTCAAATAGAGTAGAAGTCATGTTTTAGTTCATGATCCTTTGCCTTGATATATCAGGGACTGAAAATAACCCATCATTCTCCTCATGCATGATGCATGCTTGTGTTTGAGAGTTGATGAGAATTTACCAAAGGGTCAGCTTTCTGCATGCTTTTTTCTGTTAGTGAGTTCTAGGCAACACCAGGGAAACATACTGTGTCAGTCTTTTGTGGTTTTAAGTCTTGTGACATATCACTAGATATTTTCTTGTGTCTGCTTAGAATTCATATACTTACAAATCCAATCACAGAGTAAAATTTGGGGTCACTCTTTTCAATCTTGAGGCATTTTCCATTTATTGGAGCTCTATTGAGACAGAACAAACTCACTCTACCTCCCACACATCTCTTTTGCAAAGAATGAGCTTGATAGCAAACCATTCAAAAATCTCTGTTCAATTACTTGACTAGATGATGGGGTTTGATTAAAATGAAAATAGTTTTAGAGCCAAGAACAACATGAGAAAAAGAATCCCAGAACCTGTGGTAGTCACATGTTGACTTCAAACTTGTGTGGGCTGCATAGAAATATCCTCCGTCTAAAGGAAAACAAAACATTGTTAAATAAACTAGATAACTTTCATTTCATATGATACAAGTCTTATGTCTGAAAGTCTCTTGTCTCCTGGTCTGTGTACCTCAAGTCATAACTATAATCCTTTTAGGATATCCACATATGGTTTGGTTTCTTCAAAACCTCATATCCTACAACATAAATCAGGGCAAACCAGAGATCTTACATGTTTCTCACAGTTTTCTTCCTTCAAAATTCTACTTCTTTGATAATATTTTCCTTGATGTTGGTAAAATGACTAACATACTTATGATTATTGTTCATAATAAGTTTTTATATTAATTCATTTAATATCAATACTTTAATGTGACAAATCAAACAGTGTACTGAGAGGTAAGAAATCTGAATAACAGTGATCATTCCTATAAATGAGACAGGAGGCATGGTGTTCCTTCCTAAAACAGACATCACTTGATCCACACAGACAGTTTCATCAGCTTGGAGTTAAGCATTTTAGCAGGAAAAATGTAAGAGTTAGTATCTTAACAGAACTGGCATCTGAGTTATAAAACCTTATACATAACAAAAAAGACACAGTTACAAGTTCTCAATCACATTGAACATGTCTACCTAGGGCTGTCTCTCTTGTTGACATCTGAAAGCTGTTGAAGAATTGTTTTAACAGTTTACAGATGTGTCACAAATGCAAGAATGTACCATGCCAAATTTTCTCATTCACTGATCTTCTCACATGGCCTCTTATTACATCTACATGGATTTTTATAATCTGCTTATTTTCAGTAAGGTGTCTTTCCTTCCTTGTTATAATCATAGCCTTGCTTTTCCAAATTCAGTAAGATTATAAGGTTGTGTTAGAGTTTTCATAAAATATCTATCTTTCCTCGTCCAAGTTTGTAAAACTCACTTCAGGATGTCTGTGTGTGCAGCTCTGCAAGCTGATCAACAACTTCTTATATTTCTTGTGCACAATTTCATATTTTGAAACCATATTATGTCCCTGGAGAACAATTGTGTTGAACTGCTTTTTTTGGTAGGGGAGGGGTGTGCTTGTGTACATTATCTTTTGAAATGGAAGTTTGAACTTAGACAAAGTTACTTCATTTACTCTGACCCTTTATCACCTGGGACATGGAGTCAATAAAATTTCCACACAGTTGTTAAGGGATTTTGTGAGCTTGGGTTTTAGTGTTCTGGATCAGTGGTTTTTAGTCCTGAGCAGATCTATGAATCTCCCAGAGATCTGCTTACAGCTCAGAATCCAGGGCACCACATTCAGTGTTTCTGATTCAGCCATTGCTTTCAGACCAGCCCCTGCTCATCTGAATATATATTGGTTGGAGGGCTACTGTGTGGCTTACCTGTGCATTTCGGAAAGGACAAAAGAATATGAAAATATTCATAACAATAATTGAATCTTTACAAAGTCTTGAAAATTTAGAAAGCAGCTTTGATCTTTACCTTTTTCTTGAAATTGAGGCAATTCAAAGATTTTCATGTTCTTTTGCCTTTAGCATTTTAAAAATTGGTTCTTTGTGGGAACACTCATTTCCTAGTCCTTTCTTGTTTGCCCTCCACCCTTGTAACCTTTCCCAGGAATAAAATCCAAAAATTAAAAATTAAAAGAAAAGAAAAAAAAGTATCTCATCAAACCCTCTTAGTTGCTGGGCATTGGTGGCACACACCTTTAATCCCATCACTTTGGAGGCAGAGGCAGGCGGATCTCTGTGAGTTTGAGGCCAGCCTGGTCTCCAGAGGGAGTTCCATGACAGCCTCGAAAACAATACAGAGAAACCCTGTCTACAAAAACAAAACAAAAAACAAAACAAACCAACAGCAGCAAACCGGCATTGTGGTGTCAACCAGTATATACCTTTGCTTAAACAGCTTTGCTTGCTGTTTACAATGCTCAGTACAATGAGCTGTTGACCTGATTCAAGGCTTCTGTTACAGCATCAGTATTGGACCCTCACTGAGACTCCTCTCTGCTATCCTGCTGTTGCCCCAAGTCATGGAGATCCTGTGGCTATGGCTCTGCCTGTTCCCCTTCACCCATGCCAGCTCCCAAATCCATGCCACCAGTTTTAGCACTCCCATGCCATCATGGCCAACTCTCCCATTCCCATACCACCTCTGGTACAGCCTTGTGGTGGCTGGTGAGGAGTGGGGCCGGCTCCCAAGCATGCAAACCATCAGGGCATGCTCCACCATGATGAGCAAATATGTGATGAAGAGATGGGAGAGAATGAGAGTCTGAGTAGTTCACCTGCTGTGGATAGAGGAGGAACTAGAGAGACGTCAGCTGTGAGGAATATGCTGATGTGGGTGGCCTGTGCCGCCACCGCCCGCCATGTCTGGGCCCACAGCCCTGCCACAGCCAGGTACTGTGTTGATAACCATGGCTCTTGTTACCACCAAAAGCCCTGTGGATGCATGTGGTCTGGGTTCCTACCTGAGGCAATGTTGTTGGCAGCGGGACATGCTGAGCTGGCCCTGTCCCCCTCACTGGGGGACACTCAGGAATTTAATGTTCTTAACAGCTGTTTTGGCTATAAATTATGACTACTCAGGATAGCAAAATGTCTAGAAGCAATGCGTAAAATACACCAAAAACTTTTCATTTAAAATAAAGTAAGCTCACAATACTGTTTAGGAAATTTTTTAATTCTCGTTAAGAGAAACTAATTAACACTTCAATAGTAGACACTATTACCATTCACAGCAATAATGTATGACTATGTTTCTACATTTTAAAACAAAATTACTCCAAGATATCTTTTGAACTGTATGATTACATATTCATACATTTAAAAAATATCTACTTTTCTTCCTTTTAAGCTATATTATAGTTACATTATTTTCCTATTTCTTTCTTTTTTAATTTATTTATTAGTTCTAGTTAGGGAACAAGCTTGTTTCAAGTCCCTTCTCCCTCTCCCTCCCCTCAC